CATTAAAAGCTTAATGACCAAAATTAGTGGTCACTGAATTGGAGAGTGAATGACCAAAATAGTGGTCACCGGTTATTTTCATAATTGAAAAATTAGTGACCATAAGTAATTGTCACTAAAAGTTAAACAAACAAAGTCATAAGTAATAAAAATCAATTTTCATTTAAATAATATTTTATCACGGAAAGGGTTCCTGTGGTATAATATTATAACGAAAATGGTCTTAACTAATTCATTTTATAAGAAATATTATTGAATTCTATTCAAGTCATTGATTTCAAACATAGACAATATATATTACTGTTATTCAAGAAACGCCCCTGTACAAATGCTTGTCACATAAATAGTCCCTAATTGCTGGTGTATAAAACATAGTTATGGAAATACACATCTATTTTATCACCTTTATTAGTTGGTGCATAATTGAAAACATTAAAAATAATACGAACATTTTGGTGTAAAAATCAATTCATAAACACCATTTTCAACCAGTGAAACAAAAACTTACAAGATTCACTGTTACGGATCTTACATTTTCTTCTTTCTCCCTTCGCGACTTCTGATACGAGAGTTTGCACCTAATTGCATCGTATCACATCGCCTCACTGTTTCGACCTAATTGCATCACATCGCATCACCATTTCGACCTAATTTCATTGCATCGCCGTATCAACCTGATCGGACATGAAAGGATTCACACTGAGACGTACACCGTAGTCATATCCCCATTCATCTCTCTTTTTCCGTTCATCGCATTTACCATTTCTAGTCATTGCGTTTCTGGTATCCCTATTTCTCTCTCTCTCTCTCTCTATCTCTCTCTCTCTCTCTCTCTCTCTCTCTCTCTCTCTCTCTCTCTCTCTCTCTCTCTTCCCCCCATTCATTGTATTTCTATGACTCCGATTTTATTCGGTTAATTCTGATTTTTTTTTCTTTCTAAGTGGTTGTGAATTTCTCTGATTTGTCTTTTGACAATGAATTTATTTGTTCTATGCTAGCTCCTCCCGTAGTTTATTCTTTAATCAGATAAGGAAAACGATTGTAAAGGCTTCCCAGTTCATTCTCTTAACAATGCCATTAATTTGACTTGACCTACAGTCTCCTAGATAAGCAAAGGAATAAAGCTTTACTCATTTTCTTCCAAACATATTTAAGTAACCTTGAACCAACTCAAGTATTATTACAATTTCTACGTACCTAAATAGTTCCTTAAGCTATCAAACTTGTGATGTATCCAATTAAGAACGTGATCTATTTAGGTCACATACAAAAGCTCAAACTGTTATGATTTGGGTAACCAAAATTTGCCAGTTTGGGTATATTACCTCTGTGTATTTAGTTCTTAACTTTGTAAACTAAACTGTTTTTGGAAATCTGTTTTGGTGGTTGTTGTCCTAACTCTGATTGTTATATTGATTACTAATTCTTTTATATATTATTCTATTAACATGTCATTATTCTGAAAACCATTGTTTCCTCTATGTTTAGACCAACATAAATCTTAAAGAAAGCATACTTACTTTTGGATACAGAAAGAGCTGATGACTCTTTGGGCTGCAATTTTCAAATAACAGGCTAATAAATAACTAGGTGACTTTTGAATCCAAATTGACCTTTTCTCATATAAATAGACTAGAATTTCCTCCTCTAATAAAAATGGAATAAAAATCATTAAAACACAATACAAAAGAATCTGAGCGATTAGTTACTCATCTTAAATGGCTTGGACATGTTTTGTTGAGCATCATTTTCCACAAATCTTTTGGTTAACTGTTCATTCCCCACCTTTAACCTTATAACCTCAGTTTCAATATGTGTATGATTTGAAAGGTGAATTAAATCAGCTTTATCTTCCTCTTCACCTTTCTCAACCATGGTATTGACTCAAGGCTATAAGTTGCTGCAAAATTTGGTAAATAAAAAGGACTTCTTTGTTTTGTCAATTTGTTTACTTTTTGTTGGGCTTTAATCAGGGGTAGTTATGTCATTTTTACTACATTGCTCGCATATTGACTCCTGTAGGGTTGAAAGAATATATGATGCCATTCGAGGAAGTATAGTGAAAAGAGACATCTACCTTGACTTTCAATTGAAAAAAACTCTCACTTGTTATGTAATAAGTTACTGCTCTTACATGAATTCTGGTATGTATTTGTTCTGTTTAATCAATTTATGGTTTTTCTCTTTCTTTTTCTTTTTACTGTAATAATGTGGTTTTAAGTTTAACTGTATATTCACAGAAAGAAGTTGGAAGCCCTGAACTGGAGAATGGTGCTGTTAATGTTGCTCTAGATCTTTATGATGTCATTCCATTCCATTGTCTATTCCAAATTTCCATTCCATCATTTTCTCATACACCTTTAAACTCTTTACACGTTGTCTACTGTAAGGTCGGAATGGCAAGAGTAGGCTTAATGATTTCAAATATTCTTTTATATCTCGAGGTAACATCAATTGTTCAATTTACTAAAATACCCCTGATACAAACTCTATATTAAGTGTCACTTCTTCTTGCAGCATTTCCCTACCGCTGAAGAGTCTGTATCATATTATAACCAAAAAATATGTAGATGGAAAAGGATTTGTTCCCCCAAGTCAAATAGTAAATCATTTTATTATTTTACGATATTTTTAATTTCATTTATATAATGAATTTTTTCACAAAAAAGACGAACAACTTTTGGTACTTAGATTTTCTACATGGAAAGAAATAGCAACATGCTTTCATTTATGTGTATTACAATATTGTACCTTCATTATTGTTCTTATACAGACATCATAATTTATAAAGACACAATTATAGCATGTGTTTATCTTATTAAGACCTTATACATTAAAATTACCACATAAACTTGCTTTATATTGGGATAAGATTGCTATAAATTTATTTATTTTAATAAACAAATGTATAAAATTTCATTGCTACTTCTTGCAATTAACCATTTCTAATATCATATTCTTGCAGGCTGTGGGATAGCTTTTTCCAAGTTTAGACGAGATGCTTCAATCACACGTTAGTAAGATCCATATTTACTTTATAGTTAATATTTTTTTCTTGTATTTCAATTTACTAATTCTATTACAAATATTGTAAATCCGATAAATAGCAACTCACTTTTGTTACATGTTTATTATAGTATCCTACTTTTATTCCTTTCTATTGACAACATTGTAGGTCTGAACTCAGCAGTGAGCAGCAGGTCCAACACCGCCAACTCCAAAATCGGTAGTGGAATTGTATGTCTAACTAAATACCTACTCATTTTTCTATAGCTTTTTTACAACCAATTTCTTTCTAATTACTTAATTTTCAATTTGAAAATTGATCTACTGAAGTTAGCTTTTATTATATAGAATGGTGGAATAAAAAGAAATGAAAGTAAAATAGTTAAAAAGAAGACCTTTTTTAGTGATGTAATTTACTGATGACTAAGTTTTGTGAAACAGGATGCACTTGATGTGTTTCTTCAACTTCCTCATATATAAGCATTCTTTTATAAAATTTAGAATTAATGAATATCTAGTATTTTGTTCCATGTTTTTTTTTTTCTGTAAATATATTTTAAGTTGATATTAACGGAAATCTCAATTTGGGGGGTATTTTGGTAATTTTAACCACAGGTGGGAAAAGCTCATTTTGAATTGGTTGATTATCTAGAAGCTGAGCGTGCCTTTAGCAATGCCAGATTGGCTTCTCCTTATAGCTTAGATATGTAAGTTCCTATTGGTATTATAACACTATAACTAAACCCCCAGAGGATAAAATGGTAATTTTACATAATCTTTGGTCTCGTATGTTGTAGCACCTCAAGGAGGATATGTGGTTAAGTTATTTGTCACAAGAGCTAATATCAACGGATTGCTTAACCCCTCAATCATGGTAACCATTTAAAAAAAATATAAGTGGTTGAGTTATCTCTTCTATAAGGACATATTTTTTATATTTTATTTAGTTTTTTTTTAATGTAAATGTGGTAGGTGTGCAATGGGAAATTGTTTTAGTATGCAAAAAGACCATGAAATAGTATCTTAATCTTTTTTGAGCAAATGATCGTTTTACCCTTCTATTTAGAAACAATGCTTACCAACAAAATAAACAATATCCTACCATCCTTCGAGTATATGACCATTTTACCCTTCTATTTAATGAATGACCATTTGACCATTCTATATGGTAAATGATTATTTTATCATTGTATTTTGTAGGAGTCTGAAAAGTATTCCATAAGGATGCCCAACAAATGGAACTTTTCATTTGATTCCATTTATAATTTAGGTGGGAAATCATCTGTTCTTATGAAGATTTATTTGGTTATTGTTGTTGTATTATAAACATTTATAGCATGTGGCTTATCTTTTGTCTAATTGGATATTATTATATTTCATTTTGAAAATAACATTTAATATTTCAATAATTTCATAATTATTAACCCTTTTTTTTGTCTAAAAGGCTAAATCAGTGGCGACCTGGTATAATCACTAATTAGATAAACCAGTGACCACTTTTTATGGTCACTAATCGGATAAAACAGTGACGACTTTTATTAGTCACTAAGTAGATAAAATAGTGACGACTTTCATTGATTAGTGACAACATTTAGTGACGCAGCGGGTCGTCATAGATTTAGTGACGACTATATTTTAGTCACTGTTTAGTGACCATATTTATACCTGGTCACTAAATCGGTTTTGTGACGGACCTATAGTGACGAAAAGTGACGACCGAAATTTTGGTCACTAAATCATTTAATGACGCCACATTCTATTGTTAGTGACCATTTCGTTTTGGTCACTAATTGACATATTTTTTGTATATATATATATATATATATATATATATATATATATATATATATATATATATATATATAAACCAAATAGGTTCTATTTGATTTTAGGATTAAATATATAACATCATATAATAGTATTAAGGTAGCTTTGTTGAGACCATAAAGAACTAATTAACTAAAAGATGTCTGAAAACTATATGCTAACCATGTATTTTTATTTCGTTAGCGAAGATAATTTTCATATTTAGTATAAGTTATATGCGTATTCTGAATATTATATATTCATCTATTAATTAAAATGCAATTACATGACATTATTTGAAGTGAAATTAAGGCCGGTACAAACTAAAGAGACACATACAGTCATATATGTCTAACAATAATACAATGCTCTCGATATTTATTATAAATTTAGATATATATGCTTCCAGTCTTCCAAACATGCATAAGAATCTCCGCGTCACTCCACCCTACAGAAATATATGTCAAACCACGTCAATACAGTTTTATGCGTGTTCATGCAAAAATAAACGAAAATTGATAAAATACAAATATAAAAATATATTTTAACATACGTGGAACAGTCTGTGCTTGGACTGATCTTATAAGGAAGGTTGACACCACAGTCGCTGGGAAGGCTGGCAGCGTTAGAGAGATTGATGCCGGAGTTGGATGAGTAAAAACTCTTCAAGCAGTTACATGCAGTCTGACGAGCAGAGGCTGAATTTGCAGCGCTATTGAGTGCGTCAACCCCACTGCAACATGCCGATGACACAGCACCGCTATTTGTTAAGTAGCCATAGCATGGCGATAAGTCACTAACCACCTGATCACAGGTAATACCCTGAGCATAGGTTTCAGCCACCACCATGCATGTAACGACTACACATAAGACCATCATTACCATTCTAGCCATTTTTCAAGAATACGAGTACTTAAAAAGAAACTTGTGTTTTCCTTTCTATGTGATTTCAATGGTAATTGCTGGTGCAAGAAAATGTTGTGCAAGGTGACGATATATATAGGCGTTCTTGCCCATTAATTCCTATGCTTGTATGAAGAGATTGGTTCGTTGGAAAAGCTAGGTTGATATTAATTGAACCTACATCGATTTTTTTATCTATAATATTCTTCACCATTATTTCATTTTAGTTAATAATAATAATAATGTAGCCGGATTTAGTTGAATCACAAACCACCCTACAGCCTCCGCTTTCCTAGCTGGCTAGATCATCAATATTTTGTATATCAATCTTCCGTCATTACCAATTCATTGGTACATAAAACGATCGTGCAAATATATGAAATAATCAATTGAATATAATAAAAATACCCCATTAAGTAATTTATTTGTTTGATGTCTTCTCAAGAGTGAAATGTATTTGAGAGGAGACGTGTTAAAAGTACAATGGCGTATAATTGTTGTATTTTTAATTTTTTTTGTTATATTTAAAAACTCTAGTTTACTCCTGCACCCTATAGTAATTTCGCCCGGTTTAGTTAACGCCACGTAGCTACCTCTTAAAGGACACCATAAATATCAACACCGATTAAAAATATTCATGTTCCGTTGTGTAGATAGGCATCACCTTCCGGAATTCTGAGTCATGCTCCCCTCCTCTAGTTTCCCGACATGTTTTCCTCCCTTCTGTATTCATCCACAAATTTCATTGTACATATCATACCCCTACTACCATATGTTCCTAAATTATTGAAATAATCGATCCTTCTTTTGAATCCAATTAAAACCTCTACGTTTACAATCACTGCTTCCCTTTTTGGTTGGGAGTTTCCATTTCTTATGTTGATTCAGGTTTCTTCTTCGTGTTCTCTAACCCTAAACCTATTGCATATGTTGTTAAGACAACTGTTTTCATTAAAAAAAAAAAAAAGAATATGAAGTTTGTACAGTCTTGGTATAAATTTTGAAAGAAATGGAATATTAGAAAGGAAAAAATAGAATTCTCAATGAAATGGTGATATATATATATATATATATATATATATATATATATATATATATATATATATATATATATATATATATATATATATATATATATATATATGATATCATATTTGGGGTTGGGTGATGGATCACGGAAAGAAGTTGTGTTAATAATTTTCTATATATTTAGTAGAGTAGATGTGAGATTAACTGAACCCAAAATAAAAATATTAGGTGAAAGAGACATTAATTATATCTTCATTGGTTATACTAAGATTCCAATGCATATGTGTTCATTGTTTTATAATCTAATGATTATATTTTGGTTAATCCTATATATGTTCTTTGTTTTATAATCTAAAGATTATGTTTTAATTATTTTTATCACATAATTAAGAGATGCAATATTTGATGAAAAATGGTTTTCATCCACACCCCCATAACAACCCCTACCACCATCCACATACATATACCTATACAACCATACCCACACTCATATACATATCCACATCTCAAGCTACTTTTACACCAACTCCTACACTGACACCTACACCTACACCCATATGTATTACTCTATTATTATTGTGTAGATTTTAGTGTCGTATTCACCCAATAACCCACGCACCCACTCCATCTCCATACATATACCCTAAACTACCTCACCCCTACACCGCCCGGATTAATATATTGATTTAAGAGTAATTCATGATACGAAGTATGCAAATGGTTCGTGAATCTGTTGATCTCCTTGTAGTTCCAGAAAAGGCTACAAAAACCAGAATAGTATGTAAATAAACAACCTATGTAATTGTAATATCTATTTTCACCATGTTATATATATATGATAGTTTTTGTCAATTATTTCACTTTTCACTTTCACTCCCCAAAAAAACTATAATGAAGTCCGAAGAACTTGAATACTCCAACCCATGCGGAGCATGGGGAAACTTTTCTAGTTTACATGAAAATTCAAGATTAAGAATCATTCATCGTGATATGAAGGTTAGCAAAATTGTGCTGGATTTTGATATGAACCATAAGATTTTTGATTTTGGTCTATTGAGGATTGTTGGAGTGGATCAAACGGAAGTAAACACCAATCGAATTGTTGGAACATAGTAAGTTTTTAACTCCCTTGTTTCTACTATGATTAAGAATCATACATTAATGGTTTTTTTTTCCTTCGTAAACTACTCTATTATGTCTTTTATTTATTCAATTTTGTTTCAATGTTGTTGGTATAGGTATCAAATATAAAATCACCTCAAGACAACTTCAAAACTCAAAGAAGCACAAGGAAACTTTTATATCAAGTAATATCCTTCTCATGAAGACAAGGACCAATACCAACAAGATGAATGTCTAGTTATGTCTAGTTTTTAATTTATTTATTATATTTTAATACTTGCAAATAGTATAATTTTCATTGTTTTTTTTTTTAATTTTAATTACGAATTTAATGTATGGATTTGGATTTTAATTATTGATAATATCCAATTCTGAATTTTGATATTGTTTCATACTGTCGGTTTTGGTTACTTTCATTTATATATATATTATTTTGATGTATCTACAATATAGAAAAAGTAACAACAAAAATTAAATTATTGTGGTTTTAATATAATTTTGGTCATATTTTATTGGTTTTCAATGTCTCTAAAAGTATACAATGGTTACTTTACATCATTTTTTTTAACGTGTGGCTAAATGGTTAACAATAGTCATAATATACAAGAATTATGAGTCTACAGTTGTTTTAAGATGATGTTTTTTCTAAAAATTTTGTGACTAAGTTAAACAATAACAACATGAAAAACAATTTATGTGGAAAATAAATACCATAATTGATTGTTGTTGAGACTAAATACTAGCAAATCGTTACTTACGTCATTAATTATATGTGTTTATTTACCGAATATGAACATGTTCACTGTAATTATATGTGTCTAAAATATACCCAATAGTCTTAATACGATACCGAATAGTCCTTAATTTTAACAAAATGTGTGTCTTTATAATACTTATGATTGTATTTCACTTAATTGTGTGTCTCTATACGATAGGTTATAGTCCCAAAAATCGATTGTTTTTTGTGACTAATAATTAGCAATTCGCCACTTATGGTAGTAATTATATGTGGCCATTTAGCAAGCATGGTCACACTCACCATAATTACATGTTTACAAAAGATACACAATAGTCGTTATAAAATTTAAACTGTGTGACAATATAAAAGAAAACAAATACACTAAAACATCATGAATGTTGCAAGTTGGTGATATACAGTCACTACATTTACTAAATAAATGTGACTACTAACTGTTTAACACTACAATATTGGATATTTAAGGAACAAAATTCCGTACAAATTTGCCACACTTTTATAATACGGCCACATGTTTGCATATCATACGGACACTACAATTTAAAGTGACCATAAGACCTATACGATGGCGTCACCTTCCGTCACACTTTCAGTGAAAAAATAAAATATCAATATACGCATATGATCACATTTTTTGGGTGTGACTGTAAGTCATTTTTCTTGTAGTGCTCGAAAATTGGCAAACCAATACCTACTGCCACGGTACATAGCCATGAACCCATGAGTTTTGGGATATGCGACGTCACAAATGTAATATTTATTTGTAGGTGAGTGACATTTATTATTTAAAGTATATAGATAATAAAACTTATATAAAGAATACAGATAAACTTATATTAAGATTAGAAACCTGGTGGAGGGAGTGGAAATCCGAAAATCAGATTAAATGCAACTTCTTTCAAAACACTTGAATCATGTGTTTTGCCCTCCCACCGAGCTCATACAAAGGTGAATATAATATCAAAATCACAAATTCCTAATACATTTTGATAACATTCACCTTTTTCTCTTCCTCTATACCGCATATGTTGATCAACAGACACAACTGCATGTACAAGAGTTCCATCTAGTGCACCTACTACTCTGGAAAATATAGCTTTTAACTGTCTTTGTCGTTCTGAGGCATGTCTTTTTGGATTAGGATTTATTGGTACTATAATTTCTTTTTCAAAACACATCATTGCAGTTAGTACCTCAAGAAAACATTGATGAATGGCTTGTGTGGAGTGATGAAATATTCCTTTAACGGCCCAAAAATGTTCATTATGTCCTATAACATGTAAAATCATAATCATCTTCTCTTCAATGCTTATTGTCCTAATAGCTTGCAACCAACTTCTTTGTGTAAAATGATTTCAAAATAATATAAATACCTCTTGTGTAAGACGCATCATATCGTAAAATTCTATAGGGCCCCCATGTATCAAATCTTGTATGAATACCCGCTCGAATCGTTATCTCTTATTCTATGAATTTGTTTTAACCGTGTCCGGTTAAACCTCAACCAATACAAGACGAGTAAAAGAAAAACTAAAGCTTCACTACTAGAAATCATACTTGACCTGTAAAAAAACAATTACATATAACATGTCAAATATAAAATAAACAACAACCTAAATATTTATAACATGTCAAATATAAAGTAAATAACAAGAAAAATATTTATCTAATAACAAAAGTCATGAACCAAAAATTATGCAATAACAAAAGTCATGCATATAAAATTCATCAAACGTAACATAAAAAAAAGTCATCAAACCTAACATCCAAAAGTCATGCAACAAATAACTAGTAAATGTAATCAAATGTAACATTTAAAAAATCATCAAAGGTTACCAAACTTCATTCCTATACTCTTCACCCATGAGTCACAAGTAGTAGGCGTAACTCATAACCAAACATTCCTAACATCAACACTTTCAACAAATAACAAAAGAGTGGTCTTGTGTCTTTCATCTTCTTCTTCCCATCCCATTTCTGCCAATTTCCCCATACATGTATCTATGTCATTATCCATTTCACTTCTTTGTTTTTGTTCACTTCTTTGATTTTGTTCCACAAGCATCCTTACAAACTTGATGATTTCCTCCTGAACTTCTAGTTGCCTTGCGTTTTTCTTGTTTCCACTAGCTCTTTTGTTTCCACGTACTCTCCTATTTTTCAAATTTCTGGAGGATTCTTCACTTGCAGCTATGTGTTGGGCTGAGTTGGGGGTTTCCGTTTGGGTGCATTGAACCTCATAAAAGTCATAGTCAGTGTATTTAGGAGTAGGACGAGGGAGTGTAGAAGATGACCCCCAACTATCAAAGCCGGTAGAGGTTGACCGTTCAAATAATTGGGTGCATAGATCAGGGAAAAGGAGGGGGATAGTTTTCAAAGCTCCTACAATCTTGTTCAATTGTTTAAAAATTTGAAATTATCAAACCATTAAAAGAAAACAATCATATTTCTGCTATTTGTTTTAAAATTTGACGAGTATATATTACCTTCGTCTCCATCTCCCGTTTTTCGTCAGTGAAATCAAATTTATTTGTTAAAGGATCATATATATTTTCGATTTTACTTTTAAGTTTCACCCAAGCTTAATATTTTCCTTTGTAGTAGTTATAGTGGTTTCTCATCTGTTTTTGGTCAATGACTAAACCCTGTTACTTTAATAATTTTTCGGCTACAACCTTCCATGAGTTTGGTTTGAGGACACTACCCTCACGACCATTAGTGGTTACTAACCAAAATTCATTATGTATATACAAAAAACAACATATATAATCAAAACTCAGCATGCATATACAAAAAACAACATATATAACCAAAACTCAGCATGTATTTACAAAAGAAAAGTATATATATCCAAAACTCAACATGTGTGTAGAAAAAACAACATATATATGTTAAAAAAACAACATATATGTTCATAAATCCAACATGTATGTTAAAAAACCACTATATTTATAACCAAAAATTCTGCGTGTATATACAAAAAACAGCATTTATAACCAAAATTTTACATATATATACAAAAAAACAGCATACATGTTTATAAAGTCAACATGTATGTTAAAAAAAAACTGCATGTATGTTCGTAAATTCAGCCTCTATGTCAAAAAATCAACATATTTGAATAAACATCAACATTTTTTAACAACCGACAACATGAATGTATGCTTCAATAACCACATAAACATGTTGTGATTTTGATTTTAACTAGAAAAACAAGTATAACACACAAACTCTAAAAAACAAGAAATTTTGAAAAAAAAAAAAAAAAAAAAAAACTTGTTCACAAAAACAAGTTTTGATTTTGATTTCACTCATAATTTCGAATATCAAGAAAAAGAAAGATTAATCGAAAACAATTACGGGTGGATTGAAAAAAAAAAGATGAGAAATTTGTTTATGGATCGACAAAAGAAGAAGAAGAAGATGAAACCTGTGGGGCGGCAACGGCGTTGGGCTGCTTGGTATAAGGAGGTTGGCCGGCGACGGAAGATGGAGACGATGGAAGGTGGGTAGAGCCGATGATGGGGTGATCGAAGATGGAGGCGACAGATGTGTATGCGTTTTTTTTTTTTTTTGGTTAGGGCACAAATGTCCAACGTGTCCTTTTTTTTCCATTCGGATTTGTTTTGTGGCTTTATGCGAAAGACCAATCTTACCGGAAAAGACATAGTTTTTTGTGCAAATTAAACGGTGTTTCCAGCTCTCTCAGTCGGAAAGATCTTTTTAGGTTGGAAAGACATTTATCAAACATGACCTTTTCTTATCTTCTTGAACAAGTGCTCCTCCTACTATACTCGTGTAATTCTTCTCTTTTTAAAGTCTTTCTCCAAAATTTTGAATTTGCCCCTCTTTATTATAGATGTGTTGAATATAAACAATTTTTTTAATCCACCATGTATGTTAGTATATGTTAATATAAGTTTCATATTTGGTATTAGTTATGTGCGTATTCTCAATGTATATTCATCTATTAAAATACAATGACAAGAACTTTATTTGAAGTGAAAGGCAAGTATAACTAAAGAGACACATACGGTCATATGTCTTCTTCAAACAATTATACAATGCTCTCGATATTTATTGTAATTTAGACATATATGCTTCCAGTCTTCCAAACATGCATAAGCATCACCGCGTCACCCCAACCTACAAAAATCACCATTATCAAACCACGTCACTACTTTTTTATGCGTGATCATGCAAAAGAAACGGAAATTGATAAAATACAAACATAAACATATATTTTAACATACGTGGAACATTTTGTAGTTGGACTGATCTTATAAGGAACGTCGACACCACACTCGCTGGGAAGGCTGGCAGCGATAGAGAGCTTGATGCCGGAGTCGGCTGAGTAAGCACTCTTCAAGCAGCTACATATAGTCTGACGAGCATAGGCTGAATTTGCAGCGTTATTGAGTGCCTCAACCCCACTGCAACATGACGATGACACAACACCACCATTTGTTAAGTAGCCATAGCATGGCCATAAGTCACTAGCCACCTTATAACAGGTAATAGCCTGTGCATAGGGTTCCGCCACCACCATGCAAGTCACGACTACACATAAGACCATCATTACAATTCTAGCCATTTTGTTAGAATATGAGTACTGAGTATGAAACTTGTGTTTTCGATTCTATGTGATTGCAATTGTTTTTGGTATAAGAAAATGCTGTGCAAGGTGACGATATATATAGGCGTTCTAGTCCATTCCCGTGCTTGTATACTACTTAACCTACAGGCTACATAGCTTTTTTTGCTATAATATTCTTCACCATTGAATTGTAATACTTTCATTTGAGTTAATAATAATAATGTAGCCTTATTTAGTTGAATTGCAAAGAACTTACAGCCGCCTAGCTAGATCTTCAAATTTATCTATCACACTGTTTTCCGTCCTTACCAATACATTCGATAGTTGGTACACATAAATGATCGTGTATAAATATATGAAATAATCAATTAAATATAATATAAAAATTAAGTAAGTTATGTAGAGATGTCATCATAAGTTTACATAACTTAAACGTAGAAGCCAACTGGAATCATTGCCAAAAATTCAGCTTCTGGCCGGTGTTTGGAGAAAATTTTCCGAAGCTGTCGACATTCTAAGCGATTTTAGTATCTATCCTTGTCATTTATTTTTTCTTGTACCAGGTGTAGGTAACGAGATACTCATTCTTCTGGAAGGATGCCTAGCTAGTTAGGAAATCTTAATCGGCAGCCTAGCATTGTCGACGACTCGACGTGGCCTCCTCAGAGCTTGCAATTCTATGTTCACTTATTCGTTCCATTAATTAATCTCACCTCCTCAGATCGACCGAAGATGTTCTCTAGAGGACTAGATTCCAATATTTCCATGTACTCAGGCCCGCAGATTTGTTGGATTAAACAGGTTCCACTGAAAGTTCTTCTCTCTCTCTCTCTCTCTCTCTCTCTCTCTCTATATATATATATATATATATATATATATATATATATATATATATATATATATATAATATATATATATATATATATATATATATATATATATATATAGTTTCATTTGGAAGCCAAGAATTGGCACGCTTCCAGTTGCAGTTGCATTCATATTAAGGCGTAGGGGTATAAACGTCTCTTCCAACTTATGTGGTCTTTGTGGTACAGAGGATGAATCGGTTGACCACCCTTATCAGATGCAATTTTGCCACCATTGCTAGGGAATGGATTTCGAGATGGTGTGGTATCCCGGCTAGCTTAGTATACTCCCATTTTATATTGTCTACTTTTGTGTATATTGATGTCGAGAAATAACAAAAGTGTCGCACCCCCTACCAAGATTGTTGATAATGTCATCTCTTTATCAATATATATATATATATATATATATATATATAATATATATATATATATATATAATATAATATATATATATATATATATATATATATTATATATATATATATATATATATGGTGTTAACATACGGGTAACTTAGACCCTCGTAACTAGGTTGAATGGTGTTGCTCCCCTCTTTCTTTTCTAGACCTGTAATTGTACCTCTTTTTGTTCCTCATATGTCTTTTAGCTCATTGCTAGTCGTGGTGAGCGGTCTTTAATATATTTGAGGTTTCCAATAAAAGGTTTATAGATACAAACAAGCATATATAAGACGTTATAATATTATATACCAAAATGAAGAGTGAAATATGAGAGGAGATGTGGTAAAAGTATGATCGTGTATAATAGTTGTATGTTGTCACATTGTTATATATGAAAATCGTATTTTTCTCCTGTCGCCTACTTCAATTTCACCCGGTTTACTTGACAATACATCGCTTACACCTCTTGAAAGAAGCCATGGATATCAACATCATTCATAACTACTCATGTTGCATTGTTCTGATGAGCTTCACTTTCTGGAATTATGGAGTCATGCGCATCCCCAGCCTCC